TATATATATATATATATATATATATATATATATATATATATATACAGCAACCTAAGCAACTAGAGATTACAAGAATTTAATGATAATGAAGAAGATTTAGACTGTATCACAGATCCTAATAATTTCAACATTGCATATTCTGGTGGTACTGATACATAGTTAATATTGTAATAAAATGTGCATATTTTTGTTATCATTACTGTTTTTGAATTGTAAAAGTGTTATGGAAATCAATGACGACATAAATAATTTTGCAATTTTTTTTCCTGAAAGAGACAAAACATTTCTCACAATATGACACATGGTGAACTAAAATTGTCATTTGCATTCATTTCTTACAATATGACACATGGTGAACTAAAATTGTCATTTGCATTCATTTCTCACAATATGACACATGGTGAACTAAAATTGTCATTTGCATTCATTTCTCACAATATGACACATGGTGAACTAAAATTGTCATTTGCATTCATTTCTCACAATATGACACATGGTGAACTAAAATTGTCATTTGCATTCATTTTCAAAGGGTGCTCAGCTGAGTGACCACACCCCTGAAGCATATTATTTTTAAAGCGAGTACCCTGGATACCAAGTCTCATCATCAGTTCATTCCTTTTCTCAAGAATAACGTCTCTCAGTGTGCTTGTGTTCTTTGTCAAGTTGGAAATGACATACCAAAATGAATAGTTATGAATATACTACATCTTCAAAATTGGCATTGATTTTTGGTGTTTCCACGCACATTTCTTTAGTCATGCTAAGAGTCCAGTCTGGGTTTAAAAAATGGGTCAGATATACCGTAGCTTGTACTCATACTAAATGTACATGCATGTTTTCTTAGCAGTGGTTAACATTTTTTACCTTAATCTTAGCCTGTGCATTGGAAGGGAACCCAACTAATATGAACCATAATACTTCCACCACAACACCCCTCCCATATTCTCATAGGGTGAAAGGCTAGTGTATACAAGAAAATAATTAGCTAAACAAAACTCAATTTATGCTTTTTTTTAGCTCCATGGTTTACATGGTTAGATGTGACTATAATAATTGCAAACCTCTATGTATATACTTGTGGTTAAATGTATCCACAATATTTACCATAGCTGGATAAATAAGTACGTCTTTCACATTAAAACTTACACTGCTTTTTAACAAAACCTACTGTATTTTAAATATATCTAGCGCATGTTTTGTTTTATTCAGACTGCTTTACTCATTATGTTGGAAACAGAGACTAGAAATGGAAAAGCACATGAACATTACAAAAACATATAGAATACAAAAAAAAAAAATTTACTTTTTGAAATTTGTAAAAGAACATGTTTTTCTGTACATAAGTTTAAATGAATGAAGGTTCTTTAGTTAATTAAATTTACATGCTAATATTATGGGATGGTATTCATGTAATAGGATAATAGGACATCAGTGATAACAGAAAACCCATTATAAAGCAATAATTATTACTTACATCTGAGGGTAAGCTGGTAAATTCTTGTTCTGTGAGTCGAAGATATGCTCTATCTGTTGTAACGAAAACATACAATAATTTATTGTTACAATACACTGCATGTACCATATGTAAACTTTAATTTACAAGAGATAAATTTTCAAAAATCAGATTAAGTGAAATCGTGAAATATTGTAGCAGTAAAAATATCTCTCTGTTCCAACAACACAGTCAGAAATATTTGCAAAATTTTATCTTCATCGAATACCATGAAATCACTAGAATTTCTAGCAGTGAAAATTAAGCATTTTACAGTATTTAACAGCAATTATCAGATTGTACCAGATTGTAAATCCACCCATCTGTTAAAATCTTATAATCTTTCTAAAATGAATAAATTGATTTTTTTCTATAAAGCACTGCTTGAATGTCAATCTGTAATAGTGCTCTAGATATGATATTTATGTAATCTAAAGAGGTCACTTAACCATACATGTATATGATTATTGAATATGTTGAGATCAAAACTTTAAGCCAGCTAAATTACACTCAAACTCTACATGTATGTACGTGCACCACATGAGGTAATGTACATGTATGGATGACAACATCAGCAATGATATTCAGCAATATTTACAACATAATTTGAATTTGTTCTTAACAAAACATGTTGGTTAAAAAAAAATCAAAAACAAGCAGCCTGTCTGCTGAGATAGCTGCGCTGTTAGCAATGCACATTTCATTTCAAGAATTCAAAAATATCACTTTTCACCAAAAATATTCATCAAATTATAGAATTGAAGATATAATCATGAAACGAACAAATCTGAGAAAGATCCACATGTAGTACCTATATGTATAATATCAAAGCAATTGAACTTGTGACAAGAAGTCAAAATATCACTTTTTACTAAAAATTACAAAAATATTCACCAAAATTAGAGAATTAAAGATATCATTACAAAATGAACAAAGAGAGGTCCACATGTAGTACTTATATACAATGTATGTAATATCAAAGCAATTGGACTTGTGGTTTTCAACAAGAAGTCGAAAAATATCACTTTTTACCAAAAATGCCAAAAATATTCAGCAAAATTCAGAAGCACCCTTGACTACAATGCTGTTATTGCCAGGCATTAACATTTCAATTTTGATGTTTAGAATACATTTATATAATGTTCTAACTATAATGATGTAGTCTAGAGTTTTTGAACCACTGTTATCTGCATAAAATGTAAAATGTGAAAGTCAGTCACCATTGTATTCAGAATATGTAGTATTACATAGATGTATTAGTTGGTCACCACAAACATTTTTCGGAAATTCCCATCTTGTTTTGTAAAATTACTGTCATAAATGTAGTTTGGATCAGGATGAGGAGTTTATTTATCGTCATCAATCATTCATAAATACAGTATGAATGAATAAATGATTTCTCCAGCATTTGTTCAAGCTGTATTGAGTTGTTTGCGTATTTTGTGATGAACATAATAGTTTTCAGTTTTTTAAGTAATTACACTGACATTTGATCAAGCCATGTTTCAGAGAACTCATAAATATGATATCCTTTAATGCAGCTTTCAATCAATTGTTTTAGAAGTAGTGTTACTACATTATATCCAAGCCCATGGCATGAGAGTTTCAGTATCCAATTTTGAGAATATTTTGTGTAATCTCAGTACTGTTTTTGGGGTTGTTCTTTCAAGTATTTTTTTTATGGATGCTAATGTTTGAGGTTCGTTCTTGGTTATTTAATTAGCCCTGAGTACAGTCATGTAGGTTGGCCTCCTTCCGATGACCATCCCCCCGCCCAAGTCTAACCCTGAGTACAGTCATATAGGTTGGCCTCCTTCCGATGACCATCCCCCTGCCCAAGTCTAACCGAGAGTACAGTCAGTCCTGAGAGGTCGTATATAGACCGGGGATATGATTTATCACTAAATCAAGAGAAAAAAAAATTAAATAAACAGCGCCCTCAGCATCAATATCAAAACACACAGCTTCGAGCTAAAATGCCGATAGCAGTCAACAACCTGATGTATTTTTCGAGTAACCGAGTGTTCACCATATACTTACGCTGTGCCGCCGAATACGCGGCGTGTGCCAGCGATAACAGTCCAACAATGACAAAGGCATGTGAAGAAGTCGCCATCTTGAATGTGTGATCAAAATACTAGTAGTTTCTTATTCAGATTCGGCTCTCGCTACTTATTATCAAATCCCGCGTGAGTATATTCCTATTCGAATATTTATTCTCTGTACATGTGAAGGGGTCGTTCATAGTTACAAATTCCACGGGACCAGAGGATTACTTGTGGAGGTGAAGATCATGTACTTTTTACAAAAATAATGAAATCAAATGAATTTTAGTCCTGAAAATAAGTGGTAACCGTCTAACTGCCTCTGAACTATAAGATTTTCTCCAGTAAGTTTTCCAGTAGAAGCAGTGGCGGAGGCACGGGGGAGGGGGGGGATTCAGTCGCTCACCCGAAAAAAAAAATGTTGAAACCCTTTGTGTCAGCAAAATTTGCACCTACAAATACAGGATAGGATTTCAGATCTCACCCCCTCATGCCAAATTCCGTGCCGCCGCCTCTGCGCCATATCTCATATCTTGTAGGCTGGTGATAAGATATTGTTAATAATGGGTTACTTTTTGTAATTATTTAAAATATCTGGGTTTTAAAAAATGTCGAAAGTGCTATTTTTGCTTACCAAGATGCTCTACGGAATTGTTCTTAAAAATAGCGTTTTTTTTAAATACTAGTACAAGTTTCTCAAAATACGTCACTGTAATACACAAAAAAATGCTATTTTATGGTGCCATGGGACAATAGATCCATGATTTTACACAATAAACAAATGAACATTGTCATGCGATTTATGACCAACTTTCTCAATAACGATGAGTAGCTTTCTACCTAGTTAAGTTATATTTATAATGCGTTATAATGCACAATAGATTAGATAAGTGAAACGCATTAAACATTTCACATTATAGCAGTTTGATACTCTTATACT